TATCTTCTCCTACATTTTTTGAGCAATCACCCTCAAACTTTCAGGATATGTTCTTAGGATCAGTTAGAAGAGAACGTTCAAGCCAGAATTTTGAGATAGGCCTTTAAAGATTTTTAATTCGATTTTGAAAATCTTGGACCTCAAAAAATCGTTAAAAAACGAGGTCCAAGATTTTCAAAATCGAATTAAAAATCTTTAAAGGCCTATCTCAAAATTCTGGCTTGAACGTTCTCTTCTAACTGATCCTAAGAACATATCCTGAAAGTTTGAGGGTGATTGCTCAAAAAATGTAGGAGAAGATTTTTAGACTCGATTTTCAGAACGCGCGATTGAAAATTGCTCGCGCAATACAATTACACATAAGCGCTGACCTTTGACTGGTGATAATTTCGGCTAGGAGCAATATTTTTCCATGGGACCAAAAGCAGCTGATAGATATCACTCCCTTCTATCAGAAACAACTATAAACTCGATTTCGAGAGAATTTTGATGAAGACCCCCCCCGGCCCCCTTAACTGCTGTCCCACTGCAAGCCATGGCTAGGATTGACACCAATTTATCTGCAAGACATGTTCAGGTACTCCCATCATGGTCACTTATTAAAACTTAGAGGTCGTTCACATAATATTACGTAATCACTTTCTGGAAATTTTTAACTCCCTCTCGCCCCTCCGTAATCAGTTTTACACAGCTATTGCGTAATCATTTAGAACCTCCCCCTCGGCTGATTACGTATAACGTGAACGACCCCTTATTGTTCTGTCTCCTTACTTTAAGTTATAAGAGCATAGCCATTATCCTTTCTGTGGTGGCTCCAAAGATCTGCCTGTTACCATCTCATCGGCTATTCTAGAACTCGCCTATTCAAACTGTCCCAATACATGAACTTGAAAACCCTTACCGCGACCGATAATCTATTTTGGTCATAATTGGTGTTAGATCTTCATTTATCATTTATATTTAAGTATCATACTCTTCGTATTAGTTTTTACGATATATTTTCAAGCATACGTTACTACTTACCAGTACTTACATATTATTCAAGATTCCAAGAACGTTTCTACAATGTTTAGATTAAAGCACTGCTGAGTATAAGTTTTATCTTAATTCTGGCGTTATTAAACTTCCTTACTGATAATTTATTATCTTAAACAATAATCTCAGAATATGTGTGTGTGTGTGTGTGTGTGTGTGTGTGTGTGTGTGTGTGTGTGTGTGTGTGTGTGTGTGTGTGTGTGTGTGTGTGTGTGTGTGTGTGTGTGTGTGTGTGTGTGTGTGTGTGTGTGTGTGTGTGTGTGTGTGTGTGTGTGTGTGTGTGTCTGTGCGCGTGTAATTTCCGAGCGGCTTATACGACAATGTAATGCATGTTTTAAAATATAATAGGCGGGTGTGGTGCGGAGTTAATAAGGGTTAATTTCTAAAACGATGTAAATAAAAATGGAAAGCGGTTCAATTGCTCACCTAATGCGGGGTTTGACTCAGAGGGTAAATTCTCCTACCCTTTTTAACTGCGGCAGTGAAATCCCGGCCGAAGTCCGGGTTAAACTATAGTTATATAATATACTCTTAGAATTTTCCACGATTAACTAAGTCATACAAAGTTTTAGTCACAAAATTTATTAACACAAAATAATAAAGTGAACTTTAAGTTTAATAACACCACTGTCCGCTATTAAGAGAAATATTATGTCCAGCAGTTTGATAAATCTTAAATTCCAAGAAATAAACATCAATTATATTCATACAAAATGTCGAAATTAAATTGGGCTAGAATGGTATTGTATATACTACGAGATCAGGACAGCCAAAACGGTAGTCATTATTATCATAGCGAAATTAACATTATGTTGTACTTTACTGTCGCTACGTGGACTCTCTGTTTTTACAATTGGTTCATTACCAATAATGTTCAGTACCCAGTCTGGAAAAGTATCATTACCATATGTTTCAGGAGGAATGTCAGTAGGGACAGGTTCTGGACCACTAGATGTCCAAGGAGTAGTTGTAGTAATCTCAGCAGTACTATCTTCTTGAGCAGTCGGTTCAGTAGTTTTAGAGGTGAAAGAAGTAGTTGCATCAGCATTCCCTTTCTTTGGACTAATTGCCACCACGATTAGAAGTATGGGCCACAGTTTCATGACTGACCTATTAGAAATAGAATTTAAATTGATGCATACCAGAATGGTAAATTAATAGATCAATTTCGAAATGATAACACTACTGTAATTTTGATACAATAGCTATGTGTAAAACTGATTTAACGGAGGGGGGTAAAAATTGTTCAAAAAGTGAATACGTAATAATGTAATATGTGAACGACCCAATATTAATATTGATTTGAAACAAAGGAAACTTATTTCGTAGTAGTTGTACAGCAATACTTAAAGGTGGTGGGACTACTGCGGACCCTCTACCGGCCAAACCTTGTTAACAAAGCCGCAGTCAATTAGGTTCGGTGAACGGTAGGTAACATCATGTAGTCAAAGTGGTAGAGCAACATCATGTAGTGGACATCTTGAGAAATAACAAATAGAATAATATATACCCTGGATACATGACATAAAAGATTCGTTTTCACTTGTTTGCATAAAAAGCATTAATATAACAATACAATTTACAACAATGCATATCGACAAGATTTGAATCATCAAATAATTGAGTCCCTGGGACACATATTCAGCTAAGCTTTGATACAAAGCATTCGAACTCAAAGTCGCTTTCACAACTTTTGTCAACTGAATTGACAGAAGATCTGGTTCCTCTTATACACAGGAGAATCAGCTTCCTGATAACAAATGATAATTTACATCTTAAAAAATTGACAACATCTGAATAGTTTTGTTAAGTCTTATGAGATATTTTCTCACACAACAATCTGAAAAATGTTCTTGCTTCTGGCCCGCTGCCAACCATGACAAAGTACACCAGTGGACAACAACTCCCATACTTTACTTTACTTTACTTTACGTTGTTTAGCTGCAAGGCAGCAGGGTCATCTATGAAAACCACCTTTTTTTTTTACTTCGGACAACCATGGCCGGCACCAGCACTTACAGGAAACCGAAGGATCGATAAATCAAAAGCTCGATAGTCGATGGTGCTGTAGATGTGTCGAATATTAGCATCAAAATTCATTATTTTATGTTATTGTTAGATACAAATAATAACTAAGATGAGACAAAATGTTTTATTTCAGTCAATAAAGTTGGCATACGATGCAATAATATTACGTGACATGATACGCATTGTTAACACGAAACAAAATCGCGCAAAATATGAAATGATCTACAACCAAACCACATACAGATCGACGGCGACACCTCAGATGCGCGCAGAATTTTTCAAGTTCTGCACGCCTAATATAATATAAACGATTATCACGTGCGCCAAACACCACTCTGGGATACAATAAAGTTGAAAGTAGAGCAAAATTTGCATTGTAGGCAGTAGGGAAATTTGATCGTGCGTGGTGATACCGCGGCGAAATTCTTGTTTAGCTAGTAGTAGTACTCAGTCTTTTCAAATGTTCTGGGTCACCCAGCGGTGTATTAGTTACTATTACAAGTAAATTGTTAAGTTACCGGGCTGCTGCAATGTAATGTATTGAGTATTGAGATTAATGATTAAGCAAGTTACCATTGTACACAATAGCTGCTGTTATCTTTTACTAATTCGCTCGCCCAAAAATTTCACGTGACTTTGGTTTTTATGGTTTTGCAGCCGTACAAAACGGTTTTACATAAACCCTAATCCCAACCCTAACCATAACTGCATAAGCTATTGCTATAATGTATAACCCTTTATACCAGTTACCACGACCCTAACGTAACCCTAACCCGAGCCCTAAACAATCGAATTCATGTTTTACTAGCCTGTCGCGTGACCAAAACGATTTCAGATTTTTTGCCCGTAACTCTCCAGGGAAGCATTTTTAAATTTTCCCTACGTCATGTGATTGTGGGGTGATTCGGAATCAGCGTCCAAAAAAACACCGATTTAGATCAATTACATAGTCCATCCCAAAGGGTTCACGTCTACTTCTAGCCATCTTATATATGATCGTCTACGCGTACTGCGTGACGCGCTTGTAGTTGTTTCACAACTATAATTAGTAATATTTATATAGTGTGCTACTGCAAGCGAGAGGGCTCTGGATAGAGCAACCCAAAGGGCCTTTTCACAATAATTTTCTTAAAATTTGGGCGAGCGATTTAGTAATAGTAGGAGCGCAAGAAAATGGCGAGCTTGAGGCCAGTCTTACCTAGGAGTAGGTTCCATTCTGACGTATCAAAGTTTTTCAATCACACATCACAATTCACATTCGGGGAAATGAAATGGTTGCGGTATAATATAACAGGTTACAGGGTTTGCAGTGAATCGGGGCGAGGTAAATCAGGGTTTTACTGTGTCTGTATTAATTTTTTTCCCTGCTCTTGCCGAAGGCAAAAAGATCGTAGGGAATAAGTAATCGGGTTTGGATATATGAGCTATCCCGATGGACCTGCGGTGACGACAAAAGTCTGCTCCTTCGCAATATAGACCACTCCCCTATAATTATGCGTAAAGGAAGCGTCTGTTATGCTGCGCGCGACGCTCGGCATGTGTTAGTTAATTGCAGTATCCAACGCGAATTTCAATTGTCAAACGATGCCGTTCAAATTAAATTAGCCCAAAATTTGTGCGCGGCGTACTAAATATTCGAGTACATGCAATCCTGCACGCGCGCAATGACAAATTACGATGAAAATATTGCAACTTTTTAACAACAAAATAATCCAATATCTAATTTTTATTAATCGATAAAATTAACTTTTCGTTGCAAATATTAACGGTTTAACTTTAAGCAGGGAAAATTAATCGTGCGTGGTGTAACCGCGGCGAAATTCTTGTTTATGCTAAATTTCTATTGTTTCATAATTTTGTGTTTGATCACTTAATTTAAGTCATTTCAGCTTTTGACCATAAATTCGCTTATTCGGTGACAAATAAAAGGCGTTAAATGGTCTGCGAATATTTTGCATGGCATGATTATACTTCATCCATTAACAAATACACAAGTAAATATATAACGTTACTTAAACTAGTAATCTTAAATCTAGACTTAATTATATCTTGTCTTATATATCACATGACACTACTACTAGTTATGACTTTATCATAACCTACAACTTGAACTACAAGTACAACATTGTCAACGTGATATTCTACCTTCCAACATTAGAAAAGATAAGATTATTTTCGGGAATTCTAAAAAATTGCAAATCAGCTTTGATTGGCTATGTTAAATTTAAAAAGCAATAACCATTTTTTGTTTGTTAAGGATTCAGTTTCGGAAGAATTATAAAACATTATTTTAGTTATTCTGCTATGTGAAGATGGTAGAATCTGAAGTATCTACCATGTACCACGCACGTACACTAACACACGGTTTTATATGCTGAAGTCCCTAAACCCAGAAGTTGACGAGTAAGGAAGCCAAGAAGCAGCTCAAAACATGAGTTCTAGTTGTTCCACTTTTTATTTCTGCAAACGTTTTATCATTACAGTTATCGGTGTTGCAGGTATTCATGTTCATGTCACATTTAGATACTGTACTATGTAGACCATCAATCTTCTCATTTATTATGTTCCAACACTTGACTTCGGTATGACTAACACAACCTTTCATCCAGTCCATTATTATTGTAATATTGACCTCTGGAGGCGGAGCATCTTCCTCCAGAGGCAGAATGGAAAAGGAACTTTGATATGTGATATTGCCGTATCCGTATACGCAGAAATCGTCGTCAGATTCGCATATTTTCGTGACACACTTCTCATCTTCTGAACTGTTACCATTAAAAAACGGGTTAACTGTACCATTAACAGACCAGTCACCTTCTATTTCCATGGTCACACTGGAGCATGTGACACAGTTTAACCCATAGCTCAGTGTCACTAAACTGGCCAGTAGTAACAGCGATCTGACCATTTCCCTGTAAAAGTATTGGTTTATATAAAAATGGTTGCCACCGCGATTAGAAGTATGGCCATGGGCCACAGTTTCATAACCTATTAGAAATAAAATTTAAATTGATGCATACAACTACAAAAATGGTAAATTAATAAATCAATTTCGAAATGATAACGCTACTGCAATTTTGATACAATAGCTATGTGTAAAACTGATTTAACGGAGGGGGGTAAAAAGTGTCCACCAGCACTTACAGGAAACCGAAGGATCGATAAATCAAAGGCTCGATAGTCGATGGTGCTGTAGATGTGTCGAATAAGCATCAGAATTTATTAGTTTATGTTATTGTTAGATACAAATAATAACTAAGATGAGACAAAATGTTTTATTTCAGTCAATAAAGTTGGCATACGATGCAATAATATTACATGACATGATATTGATACGCATCGTTAACACGAAACAAAATCGCGCAAAATATGAAATGATCTACAACCAAACCACATACAGATCGACGGCGACACCTCAGATGCGCGCAGAATTTTTCAAGTTCTGCACGCCTAATATAATATAAACGATTATCACGTGCGCCAAACACCACTCTGGGATACAATAAAGTTGAAAGTAGAGCAAAATTTGCTTAGTAAGTAGGCAGTAGGGAAATTTGATCGTGCGTGGTGATACCGCGGCGAAATTCTTGTTTAGCTAGTAGTAGTACTAGTATCTCAGTCTTTTCAAATGTTCTGGGTCACCCAGCGGTGTAAGGGGTCGTTCATAAAAATCACCTATTTATTATAAATAGGTGATTTTAGAAGACAAATTGTCCCAAATAATTTTCTAGCTCGAACACAAATTGCACAATTTTTTTTACAAATTTTGTGTCTTTAACTATTATAAATTTGGTACTAAAAGATTCGTCTTACCAAGCTGATTACGATCCTGTAAAAATTATTTCAAAAAAACTGATACTTTTTGAGTTATAGGCATTTTAAGCCTTAAATCTGCCATGTTCGGCCCTTTTTACGATGAATTTTACTAAGTCGTTTGAGGCCACAATTCATACCTTAAAACTCAAAATTGAGAAAGATCCTGTTCCAAAAAGTTGGATATGATCATCAGCTACACTCACAAGAATTTTTGAAGCGATATCTTATGACCTGGGTGAATGGTAAAATATACAACTTTGATTTTTACAAAAATTTCAATTTTGCTTCTCTCGACCTTTACTTGTAGTTGTTTGGTCTGTAACTTCGTCATCTATATTTTAATTATAAAATCCTTTGAAGGGCTTCTTGTACGGATTGTAAATAATGTTCAGTTAAAAAATCTGTCAATAAACGTTTAAAATGACCGAAATATCGGTATTACTTTTACAGTGACAGACTTCTCAAAATTTCCAAAACTTTCGAAAAAGAAAATATTTATTTTTTCGAAAGTGCGTGCTCTCAAAAATAATTTTTAGTGTATCAAATCTTATTGTTTTTATGTATACTTTCTTAATATGAAGTTAACAGCAGGGCCAGGGTATAAAAGCTTTTGGTGTATGTCCCCTTAACTGGAGACTTAAATGAAGGCTGGACCACGTTATGTTGTATCACGTCGTGACCCCCATAACCATTGTCGTTTCACTAGTAGTAGTGGCTCTTATTTACTCATTGAATGTAAATGCAATTGGGGGGGTCCAAGGGGAACTTTGGGGAGTTTTGGGGAACTTTTTTTTGGGGAACTTCAGGAAACCTGGGGGACTTTCCCAAAGTTCCCCAAAAAATTATCAGTGAAACAAATAATTTTGGGGAATTTTGGGGAACTTTTTTTTGGGGAACTTCAGAAAGTTCCCCAAAATTCCCCAAAGTTCCCCAAAGTTCCCCAAAAAAATTATCATGCCAAAAAAATTATCATGCTGCAAGTATCAACAAGTAAGTTAAGATTATACCTTATAATAACATACATGTTAACATTAATGGGTATTAATGTATATTAGAGAAATTTTGAATAATTTTGAATAATTTTGAATAATTTTGAATAATTTTGAATAATTTTGGGGAATTTTGGGGAACTTTGGGGAGTTTTGGGGAACTTTTTTTTGGGGAACTTCAGAAATCTTGGGGGACTTTCCCAAAGTTCCCCAAAGTTCCCCTTGGACCCCCCCTGCAATTAAGTAAAATCTGTTTTCAACTATGTTTTCGCTATTTACTATTCAGTGCGATCAACTGTTCAATATAATAATCAGCCACGAGTTTATCAGCTGATATCATAATTCAATTTTTGTTATCACTCGGTAATTTATTAAGCTTGTTTCACCAAAATAACACTTATATTGATGATTGATCCGCTCAGATGACTAATATGCTATATTAACGAATTAGAGTGAAATTGAATTGGAACCCGATGGAAACCTGTGTAACACTTAACAGTCGTCAAGCACCAAAAACTGGTTGCTATGCCTGTAATTAATTAACACATAACTGGCGTCGCGCATTATAACCACTAGCAGGAACCCGTATAACCCTAAAATGGTGTCAAGACTCAAGAGACTAAAATAATTATTACCTATTTAATTCGCGTTTTTGACACCACTTGGGGTCCAAATTTTGGGCTCTAAAACTCCTATTCCTTGGCCAATTTTTTATTTTTTCATGCTGATTTGAAAAGCATAAAAGCATTTGACCCAGTCAAAAAAGTTTCAGTTGTATATCTTTTACGGTTTTTGCGGAAAGTCGCGTTAAAGTTGATGCTGTGGTGTCAGTAAAATGGCACATATATATATATATATCGTCTCGCTTTATATATAGTAAGATATGTCGTGGAGGGTGATTCGGAATCAGCGTCCGAAAATACATCGATTCAAGTTTGATTCAACTGTCGGGGGCCCTTTTAGAAAAATCTCGAAGATCGACTGTAGAGTGATTTAGCACGCTGGTTTGGAAACCCCAAATGATTTCTGTTGCAATGGGAACTAATTCATTTATCATTTTCTTTCATCAGTATTTGGTATTGGTTCATGGTTTTGGTATCAAGATCAAGATAAGCTGCCTGCTCGACGAACTGAAACTTCAAATCATTGCTGAATTTTGAGAATTCTGACCAAACAACTATACAATAAAAATTATATTCTATCATATAATATCCAATATCAGTACTGGACAGTTGTTCGTTCATGAGCTGACCACTGCCGCAATGTACATAAAACAAAATAAACAGATTCATTATCGGATAACTAAAACCGCTAACTCAAAACTCTGATCACTTTTAATCTAATCCATCTTCTTACCATCGAAATTGGTATTTTAATTAACCGCAATGAACATTTATCGATTAAATTCAATTAATCAATAATTATCATGTATTATATCCGTTAATATCCCTAAACCAGCATCTCAGATTACACAAATATCCGGACCATCAGGACTGATGGTGGGTAACGTGGTGGATTTTATCAAGCTGATAACAATTAAAATATCGATTATGATAACCTGTACGAAGTACATACCAAGAAACAGTACAAGTAAACAAAATGAAGAAATGTAAGTTTTCTTTCGAATGAAAACTTCCTATGGTCTGTTGCCATTAGAGAAATCTGATATCGAATAAAAATAATTGTACGTACTGGAATATTTTCAAGCATCCCAACAACATTATCTGGTTAAAACAAAATTTGTAACCTCGGAGGCCAAATTATCTTTGAAATATAAACATAGCTCTGTGTCCAATCACAGCACACCAAATTGTCTGGGAATTGTCTGTAGTATAAATAATCCCTCCATAGGTGTTTTCATAGTGGATACTACAAGGAGGAATTTCATTAAAGACGCGAGGCTAGTATCCAGTTTCCATACAAGGTAGCGGCTACTCTGTACTACTGACTTTAGTGTCACGAGCAACGCACGGTATCGTGACGTCGTATGATAGATGTGACGTCATCGGAACAACGTGACGTCATGAACTGTTGAAGCGCGGGGCGCATGTGAACCGCAACTTGCTGATCATTTTATCCTTTGGTAGCTAGACTTCGCCTTTCCGTTTCTGGGCTCTTCTTTTTTAATCGCTTCCAGAATGACAGTATCTAAGGATTGGACAAATTAGTGCGCAGATGTTGAGAAGCTTTCCCGTTTTGATTATAACAGTAAACATAAAGTTAGATAAATGGTTAAATTAAAAGCTATCATTTGATGTAGAACAGAAAGAATGTTCCAAATCAAACACTCCGGCGCAATCCTACAATTGACCGAGAAGAGTAAGAATTGAAGTATTATAATGAGTAGTGCTTACTCCGGTCGACTCAGGCTTCTGATTTCTTTTCATTTCCTCCTGTTTTGCCAGTAACAGCTGATAACGGGCATTACAGGCATTCTGAATAGCGCGCGCCATGTCTGCACATGAACTATCACTCTGTAAGGATTGTATTTATATACAAGACAGATATTCTAGGAAATTTAAGTACAGTAAGTTAAAAGCATTAAGAATTGTTGTTATTTATAGGTTTTAGGAGTATTGAGTAATTGTTAATTGTTAATTATAAAAGTTTGATAAAGGAGCACTGTGCTGTATAATGTTTGCCATTTTGATTGTAATGATGTCACTGAAGATTGCTGTTCACACATCCATGAAACTTTTAGTTTGACGATAACATCGTTTACTTTGTACCGTTATTTAATGCTCCTAGCAACAGCTAGTAGAGCCCTTTTGCTAAACGAGAAAAAGCACAGTTGTACAAGACATACATACATACATACATACATACATACATACATACATACATACATACATACATACATACATACATACATACATACATACATACATACATACATACATACATACATACATACAGACAGACAGACAGACAGACAGACAGACAGACAGACATACAGACAGACAGACAGACAGACAGACAGACAGACATACAGACAGACAGACAGACAGACAGACAGACAGACAGACAGACAGACAGACAGACAGACAGACAGACAGACAGACAGACAGAACTCACCTGGTATACGTGACAATAAAATATCCTGGGACCTCCGTGGACTATGTATCCCAGATGATGTTCCTGTTTTCCGAGCGCCATGAACGACACGAACCTGACTCGATGTTCTGCTAACAATGTGCGATCCTGAAAAACAGCAAGTTTCTTGAGAGATGGTTGACATTTTGTAGAGTATTACAGTATTAATGTATTATAGATTATGATTAGAAATTAAATATGATGCAATTAAAAATGTATCAATTAATGATTAATAACTTACTGCTGTTTTGATAAGATTGATGGTGCTGACATGAATTTCCATTGTGACACTTTCCCAATTAGTCTGATTGCTGTTCTCTAGTTTCTCAATCGCTGCGTGGATAACATCTGTACCTAGGGTGAAGCGTTATATTATCATTCAAATTGGTAGTTAGAACCGCTTTACAGCGTTCTGATTCACAACAAGTGCTTGTTTCCCATTGTGAACAATTGTCGCAGATGTCGCTGCTGCAAGCGTGACTCATGGATTGTGGGTGGATGGCGGGGTCCGAATCACCTCCAAGAAGACGAAATTTAAATTTTAAGATACGAAAAAAATGAAGGGACAAAAATGTGAATTTACGAATCAATTGAAAAAGTTTTTACCTTTCTCCTTTTCCACTCTTATATAACCAAGGTAGAGTGTCTCAAATCTGCAGGGTTGTTGGGGAGGAGGAGCGGGGACGGTGGAAGAAGGGCTAACAGCGATAGCGGTGGTGGTGGCGGCACTTTGCTCTGAACACGCTGACATGGCAGTTTCCTAGGAATAAGACATGTTAGATACAATATACTTAGAATTTTATAAATAATATTCGCTTTCATATGTGGTTGCGATTTTATGTTTTGATTGAGTTTTAATACTTTCAACACTACTATATAACAAATAATTTGAGTAAAATCGTTTAATTGCACTGCGACCACCGTGTAGCCTTGTAATACAAGTTAAGTACATGATGAGGGACACAGATTTGATTGGTAAAAACTAAAAAACTGGTTCAAGCTGATTGGTTCATCGCTGTCACGTGCCAGATCATGAAAATATGAAATATTTTAACTTTCAGAAAACACTATTTTAACACGAACTGTTCTGAGATATGGTTATACCGTGTTTGGGAATTACACTAATGCTTGCCAGTGATTTAGTCTTAACCTACGCACGGTAGAGCACAGCAAGGCCGACCAAGACAAAGCTACTTGTCTATGTTACTGAAGGAAGTTGGGACAAACTCTAAAGAGGAACTGCAAACCCTGATGCGGGACAGGGATATATGGAGGGGATTTTCTGGCGTAGATCGGACTTAGCTCCGACATAGTAGTACTAATGCTGCCATTTTTACAGCTCAGTATATTAAATTGTGTCGCAGAGACACGGGTGAAAGTTACAAAATTAGTGAAAATGAACGGAGTTCAGAGAGTAAGAATCTATCAACGAAAAATTAGAATTTAATGTAAAACACACGAAGACAGATTAAGAGAGCTCGATAAGAAACATGGTAACCTTCAAAGGTATGGTTTGAATGTGGTATTAAAATGATAATGAAGTGCGAATAAACCTCCTAATATTCATTATTATTCTGATAAATATTACTCCGGTGGAAAGGAAGGCCCGGGGGGGGGGGGGGGGGGGGGGGGGGGGCCGGGGGGGGGGGGGGGGGGGGGGGGGTACACTTCTGTATCCGACAATTTATAGTGGACTGTGTTACTTCTATTGACAATAACTATTGGGGTTTTCTGACGTCATCGCTGAACTAGTTGTGAAATAAATAATCTTCGTACGTCATACGCTTCTCATCAAACTAGGATGAAGTTTTGCCAAAAATTACTGAAGAGTGAAGACCCCCCCAATTGACTCCTGTCATGACCATTCTCGGGTTTAAAATTTAAGAAAAATTAGGCAGGTGCAGTTGTCGAGCGAAAAGTTTTAACATGCAACCAAAGAATTTATAATTGTATTATTTCAATTTAGTGAATGTAATTTAAGGAGCCAAGAAATCAGTTACCAGATAGAACGTAAAATCTAAATGGTCAGAAGTCAGAGAAATTAACTATATGACAAGAACTAGGATGGATGCAAGGAAACAGCACATGACACAAATTAAGGATTATCATCGGTCGCCTCCTCGTTATTCCATATTTAGACTGCTTTACAAATTATTACTTTAGATAAGATGGGAATTAATAAACGACACCTGCTCTCAAGTCTGAACATGCAATTCGAGCTTTAGATTATTAAGAAAATGCAGGAGATTTTAATAGAATTGCAACGGTACTAACCCCGTACATTACTAACTACTAATGAACTCAAAATACGACCGAAATCAATATACATTTTTCGAAACACCACAATGGCGCTCAATATTAACATGATAACCTTTCTCTGCTCCAACATTGAGGACATATTCTATTGCTAAAATATACCTGATGGGGAATCTGAAGGCGAAGATATGAAGATATGAAGATATGAAGATATGAAGAAATGAAGATATTGAAGATATGAAGATATGAAGATATTGAAGATATGAAGATATTAAAGATATGAAGATATGAAGATATGAAAATATGAAGATATGAAGATATTGAAGATATGAAGATATTGAAGATATGAAGATATGAAGATATGAAGATATGAAGATAAGAAGATATGAAGATATGAAGATATGAAGATATGAAGATATGAAGATATGAAGATATTGAAGATATGAAGATATGAAGATATGAAGATATGAAGATATTGAAGATATGAAGATATTGAAGATATGAAGATATGAAGATATGAAGATATGAAGATATGAAGATATGAAGATATTGAAGATATGAAGATATGAAGATATGAAGATATTGAAGATATGAAGATAATATGAAGATATGAAGATATGAAGATATGAAGATATGAAGATATTGAAGATATGAAGATATGAAGATATGAAGATATTGAAGATATGAAAATATGCGTTTTCTGCTATCCGCTGGTGTCCCTTAAACATTAACTACCTTAGTTTCACAGTTAATTTCTACCGTCAATGTATCAATGAACTAAATATGTGACGTTGATGCCCGCCTCTCCACTTTTTAAACGTATTGATTATGACAAATAAAGGTGAAATTGAAGACAATGTAGAAGAAACTTCAACAGTCCAAAATTGCTCCATCATCAAAAATCGCTTTGAGTCTAACTATTATCTGGCATTTTTACAGCGCGTACTAGTTTTCATTAATCATTTTTGTTTAAATTCAATTTTCTACGTCAAAAGTAACAAATTGACCTCCAAATGTGTAGCAAGCATGTTCAGACCAATCTCTGTTTTTTCCTCACGACCTCTTACAAGTACTATGGATACTTTAACATTCTGATGCCGTTCAAGCAGTTCATATTATAACAATCCACATTTGTTTATTGTTAATAATATTACTGTAGGTCTGGAATCTGGATACTTTCGGGGATATGACACGTGACAGCGATAAACCAATCAGCTTTCAGCATTGACCAATCAAACACAAAATCAATGTCACGTGTGACGCGTTAAAACAAATATTGTTAACCCCCCCCCCCCCCCCATCAGTAACCATATCTACTAATCAGACTAGAAAATGAACTACACTTCATTTTTACTACAGTGCTGTCCGTTGCTTCAAAACTAAAATAAAAATACATATAAAACAAGAAGAGGATGCTTTTAATAGCTCACTAAATAAAAACTAACTAAAACAAACTATAACTAAAAAGCTAACTAAAAACTGATTTAAATAACACCTGATAAAGAGCGAAAAGTTCAGCAAAGGAAATTGACCGACGAGTTGTGATGCTCCACTGCAACTATATGCTTACACAACGAGGAGATTTAAAAAGCTGGAAAATCTGCAATTAAACAACAGTTTTCCAAAGAACCATCTAGTTGAGATACAATAAAAGTGCAGATGATGAGCAAGATGCTGTATTACAAATAACATATTATGATTATATATCGACACAAAGCGTCAAATATTTAAACATCTTGAATATCACGTGTGTGTCAGGTGGTGGACTGCGTGACAAGCAACGCTGGGTGAGATCATTCGCAGGAGTGTAACCGTCACATTCATTTACTTGAGTGTGCATGCGTGTGAATGTGGGAGTGTTGTGAAGGTGAGTGAGTGAGTGAGTGAGTGAGTGAGTGAGTGAGTGAGTGAGTGAGTGAGCGAGTGAGTGAGTGAGTGAGTGAGTGGGTGAGTGAGTGAGTGGCTGGGTGAGTGAGTGAGTGAGTGAGTGAGTGAGTGAGTGAGTGAGTGAGTGAGTGAGTGAGTGAGTGAGTGAGTGAGTGAGTGAGTGAGTGAGTGAGTGAGTGAGTGAGTGAGTGAGTGAGTGAGTGAGTGAGTGAGTGAGTGAGTGAGGGTGAGTGAGTGGGTGATGGTAGGTGAGTGAGTGAGGGTGAGTGGGTGAGGGTGAGTGAGCGTGGGTTAGTGAGTGAGGGTGGGTTAATTGTTAAAATCCCTAACCTAAGAATCAAAAAACCTCTCGCTATATAATATGTTTTATGGCTCTAAAAATGGCTCTTCCCAAGAAATTAATAAAGACAGGAAGCGAAATTTAATAAACCAAAGTAATGAATCATCTTGATTTGATGGAGTTATTTGAGACGACAAATTATTACAAATGTAAGACTGGGCAATGAATACTGAAGTCTGACACGCACGGGGCAGCAGCAGCTGGACCGGATAAACTTAACGGGAAAATTAAGAATTCTGCAGGTTTACGAAACAATTCATGGAATTCATGGCTTCTGTTGGGACGATGGTGAGAAAATTTCGGTTATAAATCTGGGGCCGTTCATAGGAATTGTCAGGTTATTATCACTAGCAAACATTTCAGGGTTTGAGTGTTCATGGATGTATCATGTAACGTGTAAAATTAAACAAGACAGGGATAAAAGTTGAGAGATGTTCGGCAACGACCCTCTAGTATCCAGGCAGCCCTTAAATTATTTCAAATCAATGCCACCAAGATCCACAAGTAGATCTTGTTTGGAGGAATACAGTTTGGAGGAAGCATGCCGCAGCATGGTTACGAAAACTTACTTTTTATATTTCCGGCTTTTAATGTATTTCACTTTATTGCGAAATTTCAGTCCAGAACGAGATAAAAATTATAAACAATATTGAAAACGCAGCTTATAATTTAGTATTTAAACGTATACTCGTTAGTAAGAAAACAGGACAAATTTAAAGAAGCCACTAAAATATCAAAATATGTTACCAAGAAAACAAAACATACTCTATATAAGTTATCATACCTATCCGACAAATTACTCAGTAAGCGTACTGCTTCTTAAAATCATATTCTGACAAATTGAGTAAGTAAAGATGACGTCATCCTTTCTGCCAAAAAGATATCAAACTCGGAAATAAAAGGAAACAAGTATTACAAAAATGTTGTTCTGGCGGTTGTTTTTTAGGATTTTAGATTGAAAACCACCTAGAAATGCATAAATAATAATAAATTAACATAATAGGCATAATGTCAAACATATTTTGGTCGATCTAAAAATCGAATGGAAGCAAAATAACCTTGTGAGTCTGACGAAATGGCAGAATGGGGTGGTCGGGTACAGCTACCCGGAATAGTAGAACAGAGTGGCCCACTTTTAAAACTTGAAAATCTTACACACGTTCAGGCTGCTAGGGCGTATTTTCATTCAAGCAGCTCCACGTGGAACGAGAAAACAGACCAATCACAGAAGAGATCAAGTCACGTGACATCGCAGAAAGCTAGACACGGACCAATAAAAGGCAAACATCTTAAATACTCGACAAAAATTACAATGTGTGGCAACCGACCGTTTTAAGCCCCACCCGTACTATGGGGCACTTAAGTATTCAACAACTGCGATATGGGACCCTCCACACATACACACACACACACACCAATCATGGTTCGTTTTCAGGGCTATTAGCCAATCAGAAGACAAGATGGGGCCACGTGACATGGAACTGTTACTAGCATAATCACCCTAAATGGGTAAATAAAACATGTAACTTTACTTAAAACACAGACAAATAACGCTGCAGAAAAAGCTGGGCACGTAACCCTGATGACAAATTGCCTTGGGGACAGCCAATCAGCGGGCAGCATTCAGTCACGACACCAGACTTCCACTAATCACAGCAGCGTGTGAAGTCACGTGGCCGGTAAGAATGGAGGATTTAGTCATGGGAACAGCTGGGGAACAATTACATATACCATCTATTAAAGAGCATAATCACGGTAAGTGTACGGTAGCAGGAGCCAGGGTAGGTGGAGCAGCAGGTTCCCAACCTTTCGTGTAAGCTATTTCCTGAATTTACAGGCTTTGTTAGTCAGATCCGACTTGGGGAGCTTTCGGTTCACTGATTGGTTGATTTTTGGTGACCTCATGGATTTGGGATGATCTCATTGGCCTACGCTGTTCCCTTGAGATATTATATATAAGCATAAATAGAAAAGCAAGCCACAAGCAAACCTTGGTGTAGTGAAGTTAAACTTGACAGTTTAAAATGACAGTTTAAACAAACGTGTCTGAATAGTGAATAATCACAACGTTAAATCTTACTTAAAATGTTACAATATATAAATAACAATTACGAAGAGGGGGGCCACAAGTTAAAATCATAACAATTTACCGCAAATTTGTTGCCTCCCGCCACAAATGATCATCTGACTAATCCCCTTCTGCTCATTAAACGTTGTAAATAATAAACTTACTACTGAGATATACTAATATTATATAGTAGTATATATTATAGTAGTATATATTATAGTATATATCATAGCAGTTACAGCTATAACATCAGCGGCGTTCTCTGAAAACAGTTTAAAATGTTGTGCTGATCAAAGGCTTGTTTTAAATAAAGGGATTGTTTGATGATCATAGTTTTAACATGATGGCTGATTGGCTGCAGTACAACGAGTGTCACACTGTGACACTAACTGTTACATATTGGCAACGAACTGTAACACATTACTACACAGACATTGAGCAACAAACTTAACGCTTCGACAACTTGCACTCATACCAAAATGTAATGCCCCATAGTGCCGAAATCATAGACCATCCAGTTAATTAAAAAAGGCGCCACAATGAGCAACTCAAACTGTAAGGAAGACAGGTCAAACAAAATTGTGCGATTGTAAAACGTAAAATCATCGAGCTCAACACGCATAAAATGGGTTCACTCACTTGGCACAGCTACTACACTCCACTACTACAGTAATGTCTACACTCAGTACTACTAGTACTACAGTAATGAGTAATGAGGCACATAATGTCTACACATAGTAATGAAGACAACAACAAGATGCAGGTACAGATATACCCTCCCTTCCGATAAGTAGTACAACATGTATAGACGATGACAGCTTATGCGCGCTAGCTGCCACCGTCCTGCCACCAAGCTGCCACAAAACCTGAACTTGAGTGGAAAGTGCTCCACATTTAGCTGCTTTAACAAGATCTCTCTGGTTTGTTTAATTTTCCGGAGACTGGATTATGAGGGTGACTGGGGAGCAGTGGCTGGGTGAGTATCTTGAGTTGGTACGAGTTCAAAGATGGTAGAAATCTAGGCAGAAGGGAGGGAAGAATATGTGTTTTACGTCTATTAAAACTTTTAAAAGCGATCTAATGATCAGTCATAGGGTGGAACATATGGTAAGTAATACTGTTCCCATGGTTACATCGCACGTGACACGCGCTACGTCTATGTTTTGTTGATCGTTTTGAAATGGGAAAACGATAAATATTATGAAACTGCAATGCCAAAGAATAATTCGTCTGAATAACCTGATAATGTAGCAATTAGCAACGACTAACGTCTCCGCTGGTTTAATTCGGAAACCTTTCAAAGTTTCCCCGGGTGTCATTCTTCAAATCACCACCTTAATATAAGCCCACACATCTACTAACTGAAATTATCTAATCAAAAACCACAAATTACTTGATCTCATCTGGAAGTACCTGATTGATGATCCGTTTGCGACAACCTCTCTCAGTTTCCGATAACTCCCCCATCTGCCCACGTCCGGAGAGGTGTTTTTGCCGATTCTCGTTGCTTTGATTTTCGTCGCTACGACGACAAGATCGTGAGTGAAAAGATTCACGTGGAGGGTAGACACTTTCGTCCTTGTTTATGTTGCCCCAGAAAAGTTGCAGCTGATCGAAAGGACGGAAAATCGTCATCTTAAAGTCGGACAACCCGCAAAAACAACTCGAACAGACGGAAAAACTGGAGCGAAAGCAAATAATAAACTCGAATAATGGCGACGTATACCATTTAACGACTTTTTTCTACTTAAACATTTTAAGCGATCCATTATCCTTTATAACAGTACGTAATTAACAATCAAGCCATTAGGGATGTTTGGTATCCATGGAAACACGATGCTAGTTACCAGAAACTGGTCGTTTAGCTGCGATAAAAGATGTAAATTATAAAGGTCTCTCTATGAGTACGTGACATGAGGTAGTTGGTAACTGGACACTGGAGACTGTGTACTGGTTAATGTGACAGGTGACTGTCACGTGTTCATGGCGCTGTCCACTTATGAGCGGTGAGACAGAGTAAGGGGTATGTAGACGAGGACATACAAACAGAAACCCGTCTTAAAAAAGAGAGGAAATAATTAAAATTGGTATTTTTAAATAAGGCCCATGATCAGAAAGAGGAGCATCATTCTGATATAAAATTCCACGAGGAGTTAAATTATTGATGGTCTCATAACACGAAAACACCCTTATTCCGTTGAAAAAATTAATAAGAGGTCAATTAGGCTCTGTCTTGAGAACAGGTTAAACTGGCAAGCCATCAAACACTTATGCGCAACACGATTATATAACATCTTGTCTCTGATGTATGGGACTGGGCCAACTTCCCACAAAACTTAAGCCACAGTTTAACGAGACAACTTAAATCTTTCATTTCAATACTTTCATTCAAAATTTTACCATCAAAATGTTTAAAATTAAAAGTATAATATTACAGGTTGCTCAAACTCGTCTGGGCATGTTAAATAATTCCTCACAGTAAACTTTTAAAATCATATTAAATGAGGGAGGGCGTAGCCACCGTGACTCAGCGATCTTTACATTATACTGCTTGTTAAGGATCATGGGTTCAACCTCAGACGCGGGCACACTTATTGTTAGTGATATATCACGTTATATCTCAGCAAGCACACATTAATACTACAACATTATCATCTATTTAATTCATCCGAGAGTCGAGACCTGCGATATAACTGAAAGGCAATATGGCAACTAATGATAAGAAGTAAGACCTCGAATAAAACTAATCGTATTTGACAGAGGGAGCGCAAAAATTTGCTTTAAGCATGATCACCTTCATTCGATTTACATGACAATATATTTTTCATAAAACAGCTGAATATATGCCACGTTACCATGACAACCAATATCCAGAAACCACCAAATAAGCTTGTTCAACCAGCAGCAACCTTTCTGCGAACACTACTTTGGCCACGTGACCACCCTCGCGCCTTCCCACTGGCTGCTGACAATAATTACGGGCCACCATTGGTCCGATTAAATTGACGTCTCTCTTGGTGCTCGCTCATTCATTAGCAGAGTATCAGACGGTGGATTGCATTAAGAGGAGATTAATACGTTGACTTGATTCCCTGGATCAGGTAATCTCGTTACGCTTCACAGAATGGGGGTTCTTACCATAAATACTGTCTCCCACTGCACATTACAGAGATAAGTAGTGAGTGTCAAGATAATATCGTGGTTATATTGTATGGGATATTGTCATGGTGATAAATGTTTTGTATGGGTACAATGCCCAACAATGAACATGTCACGTGACGTGTGTCATGTGATTTAAATGTGTCACGTAACTGTCACTGTAACGTGATTGTAAAGTGTGACCTGACTGTAACGTGTGAACTGTAACGTGGTTGTAAAGTGTGACCTGACTGTAACGTGTGAACTGTGACGTGATTGTAAAGTGTGACCTGACTGTAACGTGTGAACTGTGACGTGGTTGTAAAGTGTGACCTGACTGTAACGTGTGAACTGTGACGTGATTGTAAAGTGTGACCTGACTGTAACGTGTGAACTGTGACGTGATTGTAAAGTGTGACCTGACTGTAACGTGTGAACTGTGACGTGGTTGTAAAGTGTGACCTGACTGTAACGTGTGAACTGTGACGTGATTGTAAAGTGTGACCTGACTGTAACGTGTGAACTGTGACGTGGTTGTAAAGTGTGACCTGACTGTAACGTGTGAACTGTGACGTGGTTGTAAAGTGTGACCTGACTGTAACGTGTGAACTGTGACGTGGTTGTAAAGTGTGACCTGACTGTAACGTGTGAACTGTGACGTGATTGTAAAGTGTGACCTGACTGTAACGTGTGAACTGTGACGTGGTTGTAAAGTGTGACCTGACTGTAACGTGTGAACTGTGACGTGATTGTAAAGTGTGACCTGACTGTAACGTGTGAACTGTGACGTGATTGTAAAGTGTGACCTGACTGTAACGTGTGAACTGTAACGTGATTGTAAAGTGTGACCTGACTGTAACGTGTGAACTGTGACGTGGTTGTAACTGGTGACATGTGACAAAACTGTAACGAACCTCTTCACGTTTCTCAGCCGCCAGTTTACAAATGTTCTTCATGTGGAGAGCTATCTGACTGGCAGGGTTATAGCAATGCAGGACAAAACAGCGGTAATTGTTAGTTCCCTTCTGCTTCACCACGTACGCAAAGTTCCTGAGAGAAAGAGAAATAATATTAACCAACAATGCATTCTTGTGACAAGGACATTTGGACCATTAATTTCAGAGAAAGAGAGAGAGAGAGAGAGAGTCGCATTATGTTATAATCGTAATAGTAAGTCTAGTCAGTACACAGTATTCAAGCGCATAAGACGGCAGACAATCAACAACGCCATTAATAAAGACATAAACAATTAATCATCAAATTAACCAATAATCTAACGTTTCAAAACACAATAGATTACAAAATCAGTTCATTATCAAATTAAATAATCACCTGACGTCATCGCTGCCTACGCCCCATCTCCTGATGGTTAAGATGTTCTGTCTGGATAACACAGCACGGCTGTTGTAGTCGAGAAGTTTCAAGTAGGTCCCTTCAAATAACAGGATTTGCAGGCTTAAATTATCCTGAAAAATGTTCAATTAGGTAATTAATTAGGTAATTAATTAGGTAATTAATTATTGTAATTAATTATTGTAATTAATTATTGAAGTTGTCACTGAAATAACAGAAACTGTGTAAAAGTATAAATGATCTGGGGCACCTCTAGTTGGTCGATGAAATTAACTCAAGTTTTGACAGAAAAAAAAAGTCAGTACTAGTTTTAACTTTTTAAAATTAACGGAAAAGAAGTTCAAGCCGAGGCTATTCAAATTCACGAGAAAGAAGTTCAAGCCGAGACTAGCCAAATTCATGGGAAAGAAGTTCAAGCCGAGACTAGTCAAATTCGTGGGAAAGAAGTTCAAGCCGAGGCCGAGACTAGTCAAATTTATGGGAAAGAAGTTCAAGCCGAGACTAGTCAAACTCAAAAACATTGATTGTTTTGACTACTTTTTATTCTTGTGATTTTCACGATTCATAGCAAAGCTATTTTTGTTTTGCATAATTTTCATCCCTTTTTGATTGACCTATTGTTATGTTATGTTTGATTTTTTAAATATGGTGCTTTTAATTTGTTTTATATGAACATATTACCGTAATACCAAAAAACCAGAATCATTCTCTATTCAAACCATCGCTGTTGGAATGACCGAAGCGAATAGATACAATTCTAAATTGAATAGGCTATAAAGTTTTGTTTGAGGGGGGGGGGGGGGGGGGGGGGGGGGTCCCCTGTTTGTACGATAATAAAACTTACGGTTTGTGAGGGGTCGTTAATGAAACTTACGGTTTGTGAGGGGTCGTTAATGAAACTTACGGTTTGTGAGGGGTCGTTAATGAAACTTACGGTTTGTGTATTGGTTGTCATGGTAACGGGGTCCCCCCCTTACTTACGGTTTGTGAGGGGTCCCCCCCCCTTACTTACGGTTTGTGAGGGGTCGTTAATGAAACTTACGGTTTGTGAGGGGTCGTTAATGAAACTTACGGTTTGTGTATTGGTTGTCATGGTAACGGGGTCCCCCCCTTACTTACGGTTTGTGAGGGGTCCCCCCCTTACTTACGGTTTGTGAGGGGTCGTTAATGAAACTTACGGTTTGTGAGGGGTCGTTAATGAAACTTACGGTTTGTGTATTGGTTGTCATGGTAACGGGGTCCCCCCCTTACTTACGGTTTGTGAGGGGTCGTTAATGAAACTTACGGTTTGTGAGGGGTCGTTAATGAAACTTACGGTTTGTGTATTGGTTGTCATGGTAACGGGGTCCCCCCCTTACTTACGGTTTGTGAGGGGTCCCCCCCTTACTTACGGTTTGTGAGGGGTCGTTAATGAAACTTACGGTTTGTGAGGGGTCGTTAATGAAACTTACGGTTTGTGTATTGGTTGTCATGGTAACGGGGTCCCCCCCTTACTTACGGTTTGTGAGGGCCCCCCCCCCCTTACTTACGGTTTGTGAGGGGTCCCCCCCTTACTTACGGTTTGTGAGGGCCCCCCCCCCCCCTTACTTACGGTTTGTGAGGGCCCCCCCCCCCCTACTTACGGTTTGTGAGGGGTCCCCCCCTTACTTACGGTTTGTGAGGGGCCCCCCCCCTTACTTACGGTTTGTGAGGGGTCCCCCCCTTACTTACGGTTTGTGAGGGGCCCCCCCCCTTACTTACGGTTTGTGAGGGGTCCCCCCCTTACTTACGGTTTGTGAGGGGTCCCCCCCTTACTTACGGTTTGTGAGGGGCCCCCCCCTTACTTACGGTTTGTGAGGGGTCCCCCCCTTACTTACGGTTTGTGAGGGCCCCCCCCCCTACTTACGGTTTGTGAGGGGTCCCCCCCTTACTTACGGTTTGTGAGGGCCCCCCCCCCCCCTTACTTACGGTTTGTGAGGGCCCCCCCCCCTTACTTACGGTTTGTGAGGGGTCCCCCCCTTACTTACGGTTTGTGAGGGGCCCCCCCCTTACTTACGGTTTGTGAGGGGTCCCCCCCTTACTTACGGTTTGTGAGGGCCCCCCCCCTACTTACGGTTTGTGAGGGGTCCCCCCCTTACTTACGGTTTGTGAGGGGCCCCCCCCCCCTTACTTACGGTTTGTGAGGGGTCCCCCCCTTACTTACGGTTTGTGAGGGCCCCCCCCCCTTACTTACGGTTTGTGAGGGGTCCCCCCCTTACTTACGGTTTGTGAGGGGTCCCCCCCCTTACTTACGGTTTGTGAGGGGCCCCCCCCCCCCTACTTACGGTTTGTGAGGGGTCCCCCCCTTACTTACGGTTTGTGAGGGGCCCCCCCCCTTACTTACGGTTTGTGAGGGGTCCCCCCCCTTACTTACGGTTTGTGAGGGCCCCCCCCCCCCCTTACTTACGGTTTGTGAGGGGTCCCCCCCTTACTTACGGTTTGTGAGGGCCCCCCCCCCCTTACTTACGGTTTGTGAGGGGTCCCCCCCTTACTTACGGTTTGTGAGGGGTCCCCCCCTTACTTACGGTTTGTGAGGGCCCCCCCCCTTACTTACGGTTTGTGAGGGGTCCCCCCCTTACTTACGGTTTGTGAGGGCCCCCCCCCCCTACTTACGGTTTGTGAGGGGTCCCCCCCTTACTTACGGTTTGTGAGGGGCCCCCCCCCTTACTTACGGTTTGTGAGGGCCCCCCCCCCTTACTTACGGTTTGTGAGGGGTCCCCCCCTTACTTACGGTTTGTGAGGGCCCCCCCCCCCCTTACTTACGGTTTGTGAGGGGTCCCCCCCTTACTTACGGTTTGTGAGGGCCCCCCCCCTACTTACGGTTTGTGAGGGGTCCCCCCCTTACTTACGGTTTGTGAGGGCCCCCCCCCCTTACTTACGGTTTGTGAGGGGTCCCCCCCTTACTTACGGTTTGTGAGGGCCCCCCCCCCTTACTTACGGTTTGTGAGGGGTCCCCCCCTTACTTACGGTTTGTGAGGGGTCCCCCCCCTTACTTACGGTTTGTGAGGGGCCCCCCCCCCTACTTACGGTTTGTGAGGGGTCCCCCCCTTACTTACGGTTTGTGAGGGGCCCCCCCCCTTACTTACGGTTTGTGAGGGGTCCCCCCCTTACTTACGGTTTGTGAGGGCCCCCCCCCCCTTACTTACGGTTTGTGAGGGGTCCCCCCCTTACTTACGGTTTGTGAGGGGTCGTTCATGATTGAGCTGAGCTTTCTGATACACTCGTTTATGGAAACTGAGCTGTTAGCTGCTTTTAACGTTGAAGCGTCCATCTCCATGTATCCCAGGTTAATCACCTTGTGGCTGAAATAATGTGGGTGAAAAACGAGAATACTTTATGTATGGACGAGCTATTTATGTCGTGTTATCTATTATCAAATTTACAAACATCTTGAATAATTGTAAATCTAAAATTTAAAAGTTGATCTAAGCACGATTATGATTTCAAGGTTTGGTGGGACCAAATACATGGTTAACCGATAGTTCAGTCAATTTATTACAAAATGTAAACAAATAACTAACTAACTAACTAGTTAATTAGCTAAATAATTAATTAAGGTGCTGATAAACTAACTGTTCGGGTGGGAGGTGTGAAGTATGGTCCTGATCACGTGACACTATCTCGGAACTCTGCTCTTCTGTTTCAGGTGTGGAGATCTGCAACTGACAAACTTTCTCCGACAGCTGTTAGAAGAGTTATACTTGGATTAGCTATCAGCTCCAACCTTACTGTAGTCGATTCGAGGCAGGTTTGAGGTTGATTATCTGGCATCTAGATTAATCATGGTAACTAGATAAGAACTACGAACATACATCCTGGTAACTAGATAAGAACTACGAACATACATCCTGGTTGCTAGATAAGTTAGGGTGTTGGTACTGTGTGGTGCCGGATGGTACATGCCAGTAGTATACTCCTGTTTTACTTTCCACCTTCTCCCACCCATCTGGCATCGAACAACTGGAATCTAGGGAAAAGTACAGTTTCTAAATGATGTGCAAATGAAAGCGTTTTAAATCCTATTATACTTACAATACAGCGCTTGTCTGAATGCTGGGAAATATAAATGCACGATAAAATATGTTTAACTTGTATCACGAGTATGTGAGTATAATATTTATGTATTTTGTTGGGATATATTGTAAGCATACAGGTTATTGTATAATAATCATAGTGATTTGGCCGCCACGGTGTCGGTGAAAATTAGATAGATTCGATTGGCTTCAACTGTCATGAATCTCATGATTTAATCTCTAGATCGGATATTAAATCCGTAAATTTAGCTCTGAGTGAGGTAAAAGGGGTTATTATCACTCAAATTATAATCTGACAGATGATATGAACAAAGAAAGTCTTGGATCTATAACCCGCTTTGACCCATAGATCACAACTAATAATAGAGAATTGGAGGAAGAGATCATGAGACTATTGTGTGTCACATCACAAGTACAATACCAGGGCACACTCAATAACAGTGCAGACTGGTCCGATGGGAAATAGCTAGCAGAGATAATTCAATCACAGACATTCACATGTAGATTTAAAATCTTGATGTTATATTCTCAAATCAACAGCTAGAACACGCGTGAACGCGCTTTAGCTGATTTCAAGGTGACCGCGCGTTCCAAAAATACCAAGTATTTCGAGCACATTTTGTTGGAACTAAGTGCCGCATGTTACATTTTAGAAGTTCAGATAAACATCACACCACTGCGCCTAGACTGCTTACCAAGTCAAGAACTTTCATCAAATAAGTTAGCTTCGGTTTTCATTGAGTGACATTTGTGTATGACGGTGGATTCAATCTGACACAAATCACATCATTGATAAATCAATCGATTACACTCCATCTAAAGATGATACAACAAAGTGTATGTGACCAGGTAACATATTTCACATACCGACAGAGGAATTGCTCTTGTTCAGATGTTTAGCTTGGAGGCTGAGGTTGCTGAGAGTCCTGTTCAGAGGGAGTGACACTGAGCTTCCGTTCAGTTTGTTCTCACTCAGCTTCCGGTTGTCTGATTGTAAACTGAAATATGTTTTTGTATAAGTATCATGTATTACCTTTCTCATAAAATCGTTTGTTTGTTTGGGGACCAGCTTTTGGTACACTGGTTAATGTTTACTATAATATTGAAGTATTACATTAGAATTAGATAAATAAATAGGAAGATAGAACATACCACTATATCCAAAAATTGAAACACTGTACCGTAGCACACAACACAAAAAGTTAAACTACTGGCAAAGTGTCCTCAGAAAAATAAAAAACCCTAAATATACCTAGCCTTGGTGAGACCTGCTTCGCGATTGCTATTCAGCGATGTGTGCTCCACAAGTCATCACATACCTGAGTTACAATCACGGTTGCAGTTTTTTAACTCACAATTAAAAGTTCCTCGTTATTAGCCGTAATCAACAAATACACGCAACAGCCATAAATAAGAGCCATACACACATTTAAATCAAAGTAATTATGTAGATATCAAAAACACCGAATGTTACACCTTAACCTTATCTACACTGAAAATCTTGCCGTCTCTAATATAATGATACTTTGTTGGCTCATCAGTGATCATTTCCTTTACTTTGACAACAAGTTTCTGATGAGCTGCTCTCTCCTCCTTGCTTCTGTCAGGTGTGATGTACCATGTGTGGTACGCTGTACATTTAGATTTCTTCAGATTTCTTGCTCGAGCAAGAACCATTTTTACTGATTCCGTGCAAGCCAATGTCACTTTTATTGGTCTCGGTTTACCACTGCCTGAAGTTGTTTTAGTCCCGATAGAATTTGCTGCCACAACTTTAGGATCACACCCTGAGGATTCCCAAATCAATTCGATCACTTCTTCTGCCACTAAGTGTGGATCAGGGGAATAATTCTCCGGTACACCGTAGATAATGAAATTCTTACTACGGATGTCGTCTTCAACTACGGTTTTCACAGCTGTTTTTATACTGTTGATCGACGGAGTACTTGTAGTTGTCTCGCAGTTCTTCTTCACGATATCGCTCCACGCTGTCTTCATCTCGGTATGAACAGTTGTTTTAAAAGAGTCGAGTTGCTCCTGTTGCTGTTTAATCTGGTCTTTCTGATAGTTCAGCTGATCTGATTTAAGTTTGTCTATCGTACTGGCTGCACATTTACAAAGTTCAAGATTACTAGTCATTAGCTTAGAAAGATTTTCAACTGCAGTAGCCAAGGGATCTTTATTTACAGCCATTAATCTCGCATGATTCAGTTCTGTAACGCTTTGTGCTTTTGACATCTTCAAAATTTCATTCATCGCTGACGATAGCTCCTTTTCAAATCTGTTCAGATGTTCGACGGAAAAATCCATTTTACAAAAGCCAAGGCGTACAGCACGACGTGTCGGTGTAACAGCAAGTTGAGATAACACTACCGATAAGAGAGCAATTAAAATGTTGCAAAAGCTAGAATAAAAGATTGTAACTGCTAGAATAAAAGATTGTAACTGAAATAAAAGATTGTAAAAAAAAAACTGAAATAAAAGATTGTAAAATCCATACTTCATAAAAATAAGTTCTTATGTACATGTTACTCTTGAGTCTACTTTAGATGGTTTGAACTGAATCTTTGGGTTTTGAGTTCTTTATGGCTATAAAGCGATGTATAAATTTATAATTTATAAAACTTATTATTATTATTATGTTAGTTTAGGACCTGGAACAGCTGCTGCGGATGTTATGCTTTGTGTGATGATGTGATGTCAGAGTTTTTACTTAATTTAATTTATTTCCGTTAAGATCATCAAATATAGCACCAATTTTCAAACATTATTTAATTAACTAGAAAATGTAACTGGTATAACTGAATGAGCATGGTACTACTAGGGGCTTCAGACTTGTCCCTTTTTTACTGAACAACTGGCTACGTGGCTGTTACAAGGGGCTTTGCAAATTATCACAAAAAACACCACCTAAAAACCTTAGATTTGTTTGGAGAGGCGAATCATACACAGTTTAGGCTCTTGAAATCTTCGATTTAAAAATCATCTTGAGAGAATCTCCTCAAATTATTTGTTATATAGTAGTGTTGAAAGTATTAAAACCTAAAAACCTGTTAGAACTATGAGCAGATCTGATAGGACTGTTGTGAACTTGTAGAGAAGACTGACTTGTTTCCTTGTTATCTTCCATTTCAGGAGCTTGTAAACTTACGTACTCACCATTAACATCAACAGTGAAGTCACCATTAATATCAACTGTGACGTCACCATCACCATCAACTGTGACGTCGTTAAAATCATTAACATCACCATTAACTTCACCATTAACTTCACCATTAACTTCACCATTAACTTCAACAGTAAAATCGCTGACGTCATCATTTACATCTGTCTGTGAAGACCACCTGACGAAACATAATGTTAGTAAAAACACAATGAGTTAGAAAGTATTCATAGCCCAGATTTAATGACAACTTTTGTAATTTACATGTGGTGCAGTTTAATCCCCATTCAAGTTCATGAGATTCAATTCTACCTCTTTGCAAATCTTTGACTGGTGCGATTTCGTGAGTTTAAGGTTCTAAATAGAATGCCTCTATTAAAGTTTAACATTTTGGTTCAAGGTTAATTTAATTCACAGAGCTAAAAGATCTACCTATAACAATTAATATGAAATATATTAAATATATTTAATCTGTTCACACTACCAATTAAAAAGTCTGGTAAAATTGTCGGTGCGGTATCTGTTACTGCTGCTCAGTGATACTGTATTGTCGGTGTGGTATCTGTTACTGCTGCTCAGTGATACTGTATTGTCGGTGTGGTATCTGTTACTGCTGCTCAGTGATACTGTATTGTAGGTGTGGTATCTGTTACTGCTGCTCAGTGATACTGTATTGTCGGTGTGGTATCTGTTACTGCTGCTCAGTGATACTGTATTGTCGGTGTGGTATCTGTTACTGCTGCTCAGTGATACTGTATTGTGGGTGTGGTATCTGTTACTGCTGCTCAGTGATACTGTATTGTCGGTGTGGTATCTGTTACTGCTGCTCAGTGATACTGTATTGTCGGTGTGGTATCTGTTACTGCTGCTCAGTGATACTGTATTGTCGGTGTGGTATCTGTTACTGCTGCTCAGTGATACTGTATTGTCGGTGTGGTATCTGTTACTGCTGCTCAGTGATACTGTATTGTCGGTGTGGTATCTGTTACTGCTGCTCAGTGATACTGTATTGTCGGTGTGGTATCTGTTACTGCTGCTCAGTGATACTGTATTGTCGGTGTGGTATCTGTTACTGCTGCTCAGTGATACTGTATTGTCGGTGTGGTATCTGTTACTGCTGCTCAGTGATACTGTATTGTCGGTGTGGTATCTGTTACTGCTGCTCAGTGATACTGTATTGTCGGTGTGGTATCTGTTACTGCTGCTCAGTGATACTGTATGTCGGTGTGGTATCTGTTACTGCTGCTCAGTGATACTGTATTGTCGGTGTGGTATCTGTTACTGCTGCTCAGTGATACTGTATTGTCGGTGTGGTATCTGTTACTGCTGCTCAGTGATACTGTATTGTCGGTGTGGTATCTGTTACTGCTGCTCAGTGATACTGTATTGTCGGTGTGGTATCTGTTACTGCTGCTCAGTGATACTGTATTGTCGGTGTGGTATCTGTTACTGCTGCTCAGTGATACTGTATTGTCGGTGTGGTATCTGTTACTGCTGCTCAGTGATACTGTATTGTCGGTGTGGTATCTGTTACTGCTGCTCAGTGATACTGTATTGTCGGTGTGGTATCTGTTACTGCTGCTCAGTGATACTGTATTGTCGGTGTGGTATCTGTTACTGCTGCTCAGTGATACTGTATTGTCGGTGTGGTATCTGTTACTGCTGCTCAGTGATACTGTATTGTCGGTGTGGTATCTGTTACTGCTGCTCAGTGATACTGTATTGTCGGTGTGGTATCTGTTACTGCTGCTCAGTGATACTGTATTGTCGGTGTGGTATCTGTTACTGCTGCTCAGTGATACTGTATTGTCGGTGTGGTATCTGTTACTGCTGCTCAGTGATACTGTATTGTCGGTGTGGTATCTGTTACTGCTGCTCAGTGATACTGTATTGTCGGTGTGGTATCTGTTACTGCTGCTCAGTGATACTGTATTGTCGGTGTGGTATCTGTTACTGCTGCTCAGTGATACTGTATTGTCGGTGTGGTATCTGTTACTGCTGCTCAGTGATACTGTATTGTCGGTGTGGTATCTGTTACTGCTGCTCAGTGATACTGTATTGTCGGTGTGGTATCTGTTACTGCTGCTCAGTGATACTGTATTGTCGGTGTGGTATCTGTTACTGCTGCTCAGTGATACTGTATGTCGGTGTGGTATCTGTTACTGCTGCTCAGTGATACTGTATTGTCGGTGTGGTATCTGTTACTGCTGCTCAGTGATACTGTATGTCGGGTGTGGTATCTGTTACTGCTGCTCAGTGATACTGTATTGTCGGTGTGGTATCTGTTACTGCTGCTCAGTGATACTGTATGTCGGTGTGGTATCTGTTACTGCTGCTCAGTGATACTGTATGTCGGTGTGGTATCTGTTACTGCTGCTCAGTGATACTGTATTGTCGGTGTGGTATCTGTTACTGCTGCTCAGTGATACTGTATTGTCGGTGTGGTATCTGTTACTGCTGCTCAGTGATACTGTATTGTCGGTGTGGTATCTGTTACTGCTGCTCAGTGATACTGTATTGTCGGTGTGGTATTGTTACTGCTGCTCAGTGATACTGTATGTCGGTGTGTGGTACTGTATCTGGTTGACTCTGTTCTCTGCTCAGTGATACTGTATTGTCGGTTGTGGTATCTGTTACTGTGCTCAGTGATACTGTATTGTCGGTGTGGTATCTGTTACTGCTGCTCAGTGCTACTGTATTGTCGGTGTGGTATCTGTTACTGCTGCTCAGTGATTACTGTATTGTCGGTGTGGTATCTGTTACTGCTGCTCAGTGATACTGTATAGTCGGTGTGGTATCTGTTACTGCTGCTCAGTGATACTGTATTGTCGGTGTGGTATTGTTACTTGCTGCTCAGTGATACTGTTATTGTCGGTGTGGTATCTGTTTACTTGCTGCTCAGTGATACTGTATTGTCGGTGTGGTATCTGATACTGCTGCTCAGTGATACTGTATTGTCGGTGTTGGTATCTGTTACTGCTGCTCAGTGATACTGTATGTCTGTATCTGTTACTGCTGCTCAGTGATACTGTATTGTCGGTGTGGTATCTGTTACTGCTGCTCAGTGATACTGTATGTCGGTGTGGTATCTGTTACTGCTGCTCAGTGATACTGTATGTCGGTGTGGTATCTGTTACTGCTGCTCAGTGATACTGTATTGTCGGTGTGGTATCTGTTACTGCTGCTCAGTGATACTGTATTGTCGGTGTGGTATCTGTTACTGCTGCTCAGTGATACTGTATTGTCGGTGTGGTATCTGTTACTGCTGCTCAGTGATACTGTATGTCGGTGTGGTATCTGTTACTGCTGCTCAGTGATACTGTATGTCGGTGTGGTATCTGTTACTGCTGCTCAGTGATACTGTATTGTCGGTGTGGTATCTGTTACTGCTGCTCAGTGATACTGTATGTCGGTGTGGTATCTGTTACTGCTGCTCAGTGATACTGTATGTCGGTGTGGTATCTGTTACTGCTGCTCAGTGATACTGTATGTCGGTGTGGTATCTGTTACTGCTGCTCAGTGATACTGTATGTCGGTGTGGTATCTGTTACTGCTGCTCAGTGATACTGTATTGTCGGTGTGGGTATCTGTTACTGCTGCTCAGTGATACTGTATTGTCGGTGTGGTATCTGTTACTGCTGCTCAGTGATACTGTATTGTCGGTGTGGTATCTGTTACTGCTGCTCAGTGATACTGTATTGTCGGTGTGGTATCTGTTACTGCTGCTTCAGTGATACTGTATTGTCGGTGTGGTATCTGTTACTGCTGCTCAGTGATACTGTATTGTCGGTGTGGTATCTGTTACTGCTGCTCAGTGATACTGTATTGTCGGTGGTGGTATCTGTTACTGCTGCTCAGTGATACTGTATGTCTGTATTTGTATGTTTGTCTGTCTGTCCGGTATGTTTTTCCACTTAATTTTAACTTAGTCAGGTTATTTTGTTGGTAGGTAAAGTCTTTGCCTCTATTGCAAACCAATTATAAGATATATTATGGTAAATCGGGGTTTGCGGTAAATAGAGTATCAAGTATCAAAACATGATGAATTTACGGATTAATACAAATACCACGTGACTGTTTGAACTTAAAATAGTCGGTTGTTTATCATTGTAAACCCTCTTGGGAGACTGGACAAAGTAATTTCATTAAACCATTTTATCGCATAATTATCAAATATTATTATTTTCTCAAATATTCATGTTCTCAAGCACCTACCTCTCCTTGCTGGAGATAAGAGAAGAAGACAGTTTGTCAAGATCACTGTCAATACTGCGTCTCTCTCTCTCTCTCTATCTCTCTCTCTCTCTCTCTCTCCTCTCTCTCTCTCTCTCTCTCTCTCTCTCCCTCCCTCCTCCCTCCCTCCCTCCCTCCCTCCCTCCCTCCCTCCCTCCCTCCCTCCCTCCCTCCCTCCCTCCCTCCCTCCCTCCTCCCTCCCTCCCTCCCTCCCTCCCTCCCTCCCTCCCTCCCTCCCTCCCTCCCTCCCTCCCTCCCTCCCTCCCTCCCTCCCTCCCTCCCTCCCTCCCTCCTCCCTCCCTCCCTCCTCCCTCCCTCCCTCCCTCCCTCCCTCCCTCCCTCCCTCCCTCCCTCCCTCCCTCCCTCCCTCCCTCCCTCCCTCCCTCCCCCTCCTCCCTCCCTCCCTCCCTCCCTCCCTCCCTCCCTCCCTCCCTCCCTCCCTCCCTCCCTCCCTCCCTCCCTCCCTCCCTCCCTCCCTCCTCCCTCCCTCCCTCCCTCCCTCCCCTCCCTCCCTCCCTCCCTCCCTCCCTCCCTCCCTCCCTCCCTCCCTCCCTCCCTCCCTCCCTCCCTCCCTCCCTCCCTCCCTCCCTCCCTCCCTCCCTCCCTCCCTCCCTCCCTCCCTCCCTCCCTCCCTCCCTCCCTCCCTCCCTCCCCTCCCTCCCTCCCTCCCTCCCTCCCTCCCTCCCTCCCTCCCTCCCTCCCTCCCTCCCTCCCTCCCTCCCTCCCTCCCTCCCTCCCTCCCTCCCTCCCTCCCTCCCTCCCTCCCTCCCTCCCTCCCTCCCTCCCTCTCTCTCTCCCTCCCTCCCTCTCTCTCTCTCTCTCTCTCTCTCTCTCTCTCTCTCTCTCTCTCTCTCTCTCTCTCTCTCTCTCTCTCTCTCTCTCTCTCAAGCACCTACCTCTCCTTGCTGGAGATAAGAGAAGAAGACAGTTTGTCAAGATCACTGTCAATACTGCGTCTAGTCATACTTTGTCTGTTAGCCACAGATCTGTACAAACTAACCTGCAAACCATTAATTATTATTGAGTTGTTATTGAGTTGTTAATTAATTGTTAATGAGTTATTATTGAGTTGTTAATGAGTTGTTAATGAAATTTTAATTAATTAATCAATAATCTATCAACCTTTTAAGAAGGTTCATCAATGCAATTAGTGAATTAAAATCTCCCGAATGCAAATATACGCTCTATTAATGGTCAGCCATTGTCTGTCTTATTCATTAATTCCTGATCCGATAGCACAGATATTTGAAATATTTGGGATATTTACATTGGAACAAAATACTTACCTTCTTTAAATACAACTCGTCTTCGTTTTCCTTAACTTGAGTATCACTGAAACAGTGAATGACAGTTAATGAAATGGAATACCAGTCTTACTGCCCAAATGAGGTATTTGGGAACACTAATAATAAGTACTAAATACTGTGAAAATGTGTAAAAGTGCAAATCTGCAAGTTATACAATATAAAAGCTCCCTGGACGCGATGTGTAAAAGTCGGAGACACGCCCCCTCACTAAGGGGGGGGGGCACTTTACTACTGCACTAGAGACACGCCCCCTCACTAAGGGGGGGGGGGGGGGGGGGGCACTTTACTACTGCACTAGAGACACGCCCCCTCACTAAGGGGGGGGGGGGGCACTTTACTACTGCACTAGAGACACGCCCCCCTCACTAAGGGGGGGGGGGGGGCACTTTACTACTGCACTAGAGACACGCCCCCTCACTAAGGGGGGGGGGGGGGCACTTTACTACTGCACTAGAGACACGCCCCCTCACTAAGGGGGGGGGGGGGCACTTTACTACTGCACTAGAGACACGCCCCCTCACTAAGGGGGGGGGGCACTTTACTACTGCACTAGAGACACGCCCCCTCACTAAGGGGGGGGGGGCACTTTACTACTGCACTAGAGACACGCCCCCCTCACTAAGGGGGGGGGGGGCACTTTACTACTGCACTAGAGACACGCCCCCTCACTAAGGGGGGGGGGGGCACTTTACTACTGCACTAGAGACACGCCCCCTCACTAAGGGGGGGGGGGCACTTTACTACTGCACTAGAGACACGCCCCCTCACTAAGGGGGGGGGGGGGGCACTTTACTACTGCACTAGAGACACACCCCCTCACTAAGGGGGGGGGGGGGGGGCACTTTACTACTGCACTATAACCTAATCAATTCAGAGTATTTCTTATCATTCAGAAACAGTCGTATTCCGTCTTTACGTTCATATTTATTTTTATGTGTATGTTTGTGGTAAAGCATAAACCACTATGATTCAATCAATAATTTTGCTGTTTAATGTTGCTATTCTTGTCCTGACTTCTTTGTGGAATATGCTAGCTGTTTTCGCTTTCTAAATATAACGTAAGCTTTAAATTAACACTCTCTGCAAACTGCAAGTTGAAAGCTTTTACGAAATATATATTAGAATAATGCGATGAAATTGATCGCCATTAAAATCTTTCCTTTATTTCACCCTCACAATGCAATAAAATTCAAAACTTAAGCTACTTTAAGTTTCACAACGTAATGATACCTGGAGTTAAATATTATATTAAGACATGATCTTATTCATGCTGCTTTTAAAAGCTTTTGAGTGTAGCAAGTGTGTCAGTAAAGTTTTAAGTGGTTATTCTCAGGAATGTAATCTCCAGGAATGCAGCCTACAGGAGTACTGCTGTAATCTCCAGGAATGCAGCCTACAGGAGTACTGCTATAATCTCCAGGAATGCAGCCTACAGGAGTACTGCTATAATCCCAGGAATGCAGCCTACAGGAGTACTGCTATAATCCCCAGGAATGCAGCCTACAGGAGTACTGCTATAATCCCCAGGAATGCAGCCTACAGGAGTACTGCTATAATCTCACAATTTGCAAAACCAAATTCAATTTCACGTACAACAAATTAAAAGTGGCTATCTGTAACTCATTTAAAGTAGTTCATAGTCATTTTGTTGAATCTTATGTGTTTACTTATGTGTTTACCATTCGAGAATATTCGGCAAGTGTGACATCATCTTTCCACAAAATAGATCTTATTAAACTCTAGAACTCCACAGAGTTATAACTGAACACAGTGCTGTTATTACCTGATGTATGGTACGACACCAGTTTGTCGGGCACGTGGTAACCGAGTGACGCTGTCACGAGGTACAGTCACTTGATAGATAACGTGACCTATATTAGCCAGCGAGAAGGGCTGGATTTAATATCCACATCCTACATCCTACTATCCACATCCTACATCCTACTATCCACATCCTACTATCCACATCCTACATCCTACTATCCGCATCCTACATCCTACTATCCGCATCCTACATCCTACTATCCACATCCTACATCCTACTATCCGCATCCTACATCCTACTATCCGCATCCTACATCCTACTATCCGCATCCTACATCCTACTATCCACATCCTACATCCTACTATCCGCATCCTACATCCTACTATCCGCATCCTACATCCTACTATCCACATCCTACATCCTACTATCCGCATCCTACATCCTACTATCCGCATCCTACATCCTACTATCCGCATCCTACATCCTACTATCCACATCCTACATCCTACTATCCGCATCCTACATCCTACTATCCACATCCTACATTCTACTATCCGCATCCTACATCCTACTATCCACATCCTACTATCCACATCCTACATCCTACTATCCGCATCCTACATCCTACTATCCGCATCCTACATCCTACTATCCACATCCTACATCCTACTATCCGCATCCTACATCCTACTATCCGCATCCTACATCCTACTATCCGCATCCTACATCCTACTATCCACATCCTACATCCTACTATCCGCATCCTACATCCTACTATCCGCATCCTACATCCTACTATCCACATCCTACATCCTACTATCCGCATCCTACATCCTACTATCCGCATCCTACATCCTACTATCCGCATCCTACATCCTACTATCCACATCCTACATTCTACTATCCGCATCCTACATCCTACTATCTGCATCCTACTATCCGCATCCTACTTTAACAAGGTTACTGATACTGGAAGACACTTTCTATTTCCTATCAAGCACCATTTTCTATATCTAATTTATTGAATATTCATTCGTGTTGCAAAATTTTAGAATTTAATTGAGATGCTTTGAAAAACTTATAAGAGAGCGTGGTGTGTACTTTGTTTGTTTGGGGACCGGTTTCTGGTACACCGGCCAATGATTACAAAATCATATGATACATAACAATATAATTTTATTTAATATACGTAAATATGAGAATTTAAAATTATGATATACGCTTATTCATAACAAATTAAAAAAACTTTAAAAATTAAAACTTGCATATCATGATTTATTAACATAGTGAAAAATAATTTGATTTGATACGACAGATGATCACACGCACTATTTTATAAGCTACTTGTGTTGGATTAACGATTAGTGGGCAGTGCAGAGTCGATAGTATAGTGATCTGTATCAGTATAGTGCTCTGTTTGAAGTTAAAACAATTAAAAATAAATGAGCCCATGTCTTATCAGCACCTGCCAGCGCTATCAATATGACAGTGAATGCGCAGTGAAAAATGTGGTTAGTGTGCTAATCGTCTAGTTTTACTTATTCCTTATTCTGTCTAGTTTTACCTGTAAAATAGATTTTTCCGTGTCATGACTTTGATTATTTGCAGACTTCAACTGAACGAAACACAGTATTCACTACCCCCGCTCCTATGCGACAAGGACATCATGTATAAGATGTAACTAACTAATTTACATTGTAGTGTTTAGTAGGGACCATCACTGCTCTCGACAGACAAAGTGAAACAAAGTGAAACAAGCCAAATAACTGGTGAAACCTAAATGAAATAATTGACTTGTAAGCTGTTGTTTGCATTATTTTTATAGAGCTGCATATTATTTAAAACTACTGTTTAGCCAAGTTGGGGTCCACCTTACTTACTTGTTTAGTTCCTATAATTGGGCTCGCCTACCTAAGCGAGACCCTCGTAACTTATAATCAGTAATCTTAGTAAAAGGCCAATGAGTGCCGAAACGTCGATTATAATTCATTTATTTTTCACCAGTCATTTGCTTGTTTCACTTTGTCTGTCGAGAGTTGTGATGCTCCCTACTCTACTAAACACTACCAAGTTTAATAAGAGATATTAAAGGTTAAAGTTTGCTGTTTTAGACAGATCCTAGGTTAGTGTGTTTGCAGAGCACTATGTTATAATGTTATATCATCTCATCACTAAACGATCTGCAAAATAGAGGTATTTCCTGTTGAAGGAGAGTATAAATCAAGGCAAAGTTGAGGCAGTTTACATTTTACATGGTACTAGACGATAAACAAATTATAATTATTAACGAATTATTAACAAATTATACAACGCTTGTTTATAAACATGCGTTGTAGTAGTAGAGTGAAATACCTTGGTCTTTGCTATATTTCTGTACACAAGGAAGTAGTCAAAACATACACACGCACCTACATTAAATGCAGTGTGCAAATAGCGTTGTGGTTTATGTATAATTTATAATGCATTACATTTATCTTTTGTAAACTAAATGTTATTACTAATCTTTTCCATCCTAGGATACAGAGAGACGTACTTCGGGTAATGAATGTTGCTTTGACTAGAATTAGGGCGTCTGCAACTCTAACATTCTACTTTAAATTTAAGTAGTTTGCCAGTTTATATGGTAAAATTTTATGTCATAAATAAATAAATAAATAAATAAAGTCAATTTTTACAGCACAGCAATATATATCTAAATATCAGATCCTCTGTAATCATAATGTATAAAAAAAAGGAGCTTTTCTCTGTGCTGAAGGATGAATCAAGGCAGATCATGGTTCTGTTAGCAGGCCACCCTAGTTATGGACAATACATATATATAAAATAATTAAATTATAATTTTAAAATTGTGTCAAGATTGAACTAAAACATAACTCAGGGTAAAATAGACGTATTCCCTTCGTCAAATTAACTATTTACAATACTAAACTTAAACGAACTCCGGGTAAAATAAACGTAATCCCTTTGTCAAACTTGCTATTTACAATAAGTTAATAAATTAATACGGTTGAAAATTATTTCATATTCAATAACAATGTAGCATCAATATAATTGATACAAATGAGGAGCATACATAGCAGTGAGAATTGCACATAACAGGAGGACTGGAGGTATGGAGCAATAATGATTGACAGTGCACCTTTCCACTGATGTTCCTAATTTCCTGTAATAGCTTAATAGGCATGGAAATACTTTGATTGCAGGGGATAGATTGGATTCACTTATGTACTGAGATAACTTAACCGAAATAACATAACTGC